CTGTTCCGGAGCCCGCCACTGAAGCAGAATCTTCTCGGGACAGGAGAGTTGCCTCGCTCCCCGTCACAACACATGTGCCCCCCGCAGCAGCCTCCCATTCTACAGATTCGCGAATGCCTTGCTCTCATATGACCACTATAATAGACACACGGCACAAGACTCGGAGGCTACAGCGTGCCCGAGGCGGTGAGGTCCCATGTTGAGCTTCCGGCAGCAGCATTTCTAAAGTGCAGCGCAAGGCTCGCGAACGACAACAGGAGCACCATGCTGTCTGATACACAGAGGGTAATGACATCTATGCACAACTGTTCCGGAGCCCGCCACTGAAGCATAATCTTCTCGGGACAGGAGAGTTGCCCCCTGAACCAAATAGAAAAGCTTGACATTATGGACTCCTCCGCTCCTGCTAGTATTGTACATGATGTGCGCACATAACAAGTCTTGTGCCAGGACTGCCCTGGAGGTGTCTTGTCAAGGAATGCTCTGCATCTTGAAAATCTTCTTGCACGGGCGCTCCAGGCTGAATCGCTGAAGGATGTTGCCCTACGACAGCGGCTTTCCTTTTCTCTTGTACTGGCTAGCTATAATGCAATCGTCAGCCTGGACACACCGCAAGAAGACCCGACGCTTCACGCCTTTTGCCCCGTCCGTCTTGAGGACTGGGGTTTGAAGTGCAAGAAGACCCGACGCTTCACGCCTTTTGCCCCGTCCGTCTTGAGGACTGGGCTTTGAAGTAACCAGGGAGAGAAAAGTATAGACTTTTATTTTATAATGGTTCCTTTAAGGAACAGGTCCCAAAAAGAGGTATGAAAGCATGGTACTCCAAAGCCCAGAGGAAACAGATGTCAACCGAGCGGCCGTTTTTCCAAACGGCAGCTCCAACGCGCACATTCCGGAGCCCTGTCACGCTGACGGCTGGGCCCCGTCTTCAGCCTGGCCCTGCCCGCCGCGCTTCGCAGCCATATCCCGGAGCTTATTCAAGATGTCCTTCGCTTTCATGGTTGCATTCTTCTTGGCCTCGCCCTTGGCCTGTGCCTTGGCCTTGGGCGTGCCTCGTTCGCCTTTGCCACGGCCTTTGCCCTTGCGTGGCTTTTTCAGAGGCGGCTCAGTGCCGGTACCGTCGACGTCTACATCCGGATCTTGGACCGGCGCTTCCTCCTCCTGTCGCAGCAGCTGAATCCTCAGACGCCCAAGATGACAACGGAAACGGGAGAACGGAGGGGAGGGGGGTCTGAAACCGACGGTGTGGGAGCTCACTGAAAACACAGTGCCCTTCAAAGTGTGATACTGGCCATCCCAGCGGCAGGGCGTTCTGTTTGATTGGCGACTCGGCATTCGTCCACTCCTTCCATAGCTGGCTGACTAGTCGGCTTTGCAGCAAGCGAGCGTGCTCTTCTGACCAGCAGAGACCAACATAAGAGATACCCATGCGCAAGCAAGCCAGAGCTGCTTCATCCGAGGTGCAGGTCGCGTCACAGAGAACCCGAAGCTCGAATTTGTGCACAATTTCCTCGATAAAGGAGACTGGCATTGCGTGCCAGGAGACAGGATCGCAGGCATCCTCGAAAGAGGGCCTGGGCACATCATCCACCGGCAGCCTCCCTCCTGCCAAGATCCGGCCACTGGCGCCATAAATCCTGTCCTTCACCACCTTGGACTCCCGCCACACGCAGCTCCAATCTGGGGCGATGACTGGACCGATCACCTGAGAGCTAGTACTGTTCTTGTACCTGAGATGCGCACGCGGGGTGATGTCCACGCCTTTGGCTGAGAACACATGAAGGCCTTCGGCCAGTTGCAAGATGCCCCGCTGGCGAAGCTTCCGCTTCACCATGGCCTGCTCCTCATACTCAACCACGAAGTGCTGCCGATCCCGGTCCTACGCGCGTCATGACAAACGCCCGCCCTTGATGAGTTCCAACCCTCTTACTACTCTTGGTTTCAGCCCAGCGCTCCGACCACCGGTTGCCGTCCGGGCGCACGCAGCAGTTCCACATCTGCGTTTCCAGGTTCCTGAAGCCGTCCATCATGAGGAACAGCGTCGTGTCGTCCGGATCCTCGCATCCCCTGCTGGCCAAAAAGCCTCTGACGATTTTCTTGATGCGCTCTTCTTGGAAGTTCGGTTTTCGCAAATGAGCTTGGCAGCTGGCTTCTCCCCCGGTCTTGGAATCGACGAGCATTGCAATCCTCTGCTTCCTCGGATTTTCGTCGTCTACTCTGAAAGCACCCACGGCCGTGGCCTTCAGCAGGTCGCCCAATGCTTTCGAATTGTCCGGGCAGTCAATCAGCTTGATGAACCTGTCCACTTGCACCTTGGCCTCTTCTAGCCATCTCGAAAGGTCCTCCTCTTTCGTGACCCGCACGTCCGCCGGCAAAGCCAGACTGTCCAGCGTCACTGTGGTCGTAGCTGACGCAGGGTTCTTTCCAGCATTTGCGGCAGCCTCCGCTGCAGGCACCACTGCTGCCGGCTGTTCAGGAATAATCTGCGACAGCATGTTGCAGAAGGGCTCGTGGGTCACAATCTCGGCTGGCGCGGTGCTGATCTTGAGACTGCTCCGGATCCTGTCGTCCATGGCAGAGCCGAAGACCGTACCAGAAATGAAGGTGATAGTTTTCTGAACGTGTGCACCAAGTAGACCCTGCCAGGACAGATCCGGGCGATGCGTGCCAGGGCCTCCTCCGCACTTGCCTCGCCAGGTCTCGTGGGACTCGCAGACGGCCTGACAACATGGTCCACAGTTCGTGGTTTCAGTTTTCACGGGGCCGGGGGGGAACAGGGTGTGGGCAAGGGCTGGGCCCTCTCAAACAAGCTTCCAACCTTCAGGGTTTCGATGTCCGACGGCTTGAAATTCTTCTTGGGGCACCAATGATGCAGCAGATGCTGCAGGATGCCGTGCTTTGCCGTCAGCAGGTCCAGGTGGCCGCGCGCGCCCGTCAAGGACGCACCTTTGAAATCTGGCAGCGTTGCAAAGCCGCACTGCACTGAGTCCAGCATGCCAAAGCACACCCACGCCGCCGTCCTGGGCTCCTTCGTCTTCTTGCACAAGGCGTCCACGGCCGCCATGGTCATCATGGGACTGTTTTTGCCCCACTCTTCCTCCATTCGAGTGAGGCCCTGCATCACCAGAGGATTGCAGAGGACGTTGTCATAGAGCCGCAGCGCCTTCTCGATGTACTTCTCCTTCACCTCCTCCGAAAGCTGGGACGAAGACTTCTTGAAGTGCTGCTCCCAGTGCCTGCACGCATTTCGGGAAACACACAAATCCACCTGATCGAAATGTACTCCACACTCAAAGACAACATAAGTTGCCAAGCGCGGGCTCGAGGTGCCTGGCGAAAGCCGGAATGCTCATCACGCCAAACTCCGCCGTGCACATCTTGCGCATCTGCACTATCTCTAAGATCCGCTGCAGGGTACTGCGAGCTAGGCCGTCGAAAGCAGTGATATACTCCTCCCGGACGTTGATCGAGCTCCATGCCATAGCCGACGCTGTTGGCAAGACGCGGAACTCGAAGGAGGCGCAAAGTGCCATGTCGCGCCACTGCCTGAGCATGCGCACCCCGCGGAAGACCTAACACGAAATATGCAGGACGAGGCATGACCGGAGGGCGCCGGCGAGACTAGTTATGCTCTGGCTTAAGAGGACTCAAGCAATAGCCAGACGAGAGTCTTCAGCGTCTCTTCTGGTGCTCCAGACGTGATGTCCGCAGCTACCGCGCGGAGAAACGCATGCACAACCTCTGGAGGAGAGATCTGTCTCAGGTTCCCCCACTGCCTCTTGACGGCCGCGGCAGACGGCGTCTCCTCAACCGCCACCACTATGGGTAGCTTCATAGGCCACAGGCCCGGGGCTGAGAAAAAGTCGCTTTGCAGCAGGCTCCTGGCCTTCTGGGAAGCAAGCACCCCCCTTTGCGGCCAGAACAAGGGGTCTAGCCACATCACGTTCCCGCCGCAGGCGAAGCTCTGCGACGTGCCCATGGCCTTGTTGAAGGCCATGTCCGACCACGCTGCCTCAAGGGGCGATGGAAGACATGCTGCGATTGATCATGGATTCACTACTACTACTCATACTCCTACTACTACTGCTACTGCTACTACTACTACTACTGCTACTACTACTCCGTGCTTAACAGAAAGTAGGATGGGTATTCTGATCGACGAATCTTTTGAGAAGGCAGCATCACAGCTGACACACGACTCATGGGCAGCGTCATTGTTTTGTCAGTCACACGGACAGAGTGGAGGAAAACCGGGCGACCGGTTGTAACAGAGGGGTGGGGCCCACCCCTCTGTTACAACAGGTCGCCCATGGGCGCCTTGTTGTAAAAAAGGGTGGCCGGCTTCTTTTCACGGAGGGGGGTTAGCCACCCCTCCACACCATCTGAGCGCCCACCGTTCCTTGCAACAAGGCGCCCATGGGCGACCTGTTGTAACAGAGGGGTGGGCACCACCNNTTACAACAGACCCTCTTTCATCGGACCTCAGCAAGATAGGGAATGAGGTGTTTCAGGGAATGAGGTCCCACCCCTCCTTTACAACAGGGCGGCCAGGTGCGCCTTGTCCTAAGACAGGGGTGGAGAAATGTTCCAGCAGTGCGCCTTGTTGTAAGGAGCCTGGGCCTTAAGAGGGAATGCGGTCGAGGATACAAACGACCAGAACTGGGCCCGTACCGCTGGTACGGGCCGTGTTCCGGCAGGGACGGGCGTACCAGCGGTACGCCCTGCTTGTCGGCCCTTGGGCGGTCCAGCCGATTGACACAAGGACACCCACGCCCTGCAACACCCGGAACCAAGCGTGCGAAAAAGGGCCCGTACCGCTGGTACGGGGCGTACCGCTGGTACGGGGCCTGGTCTGGATCACCAGGGGCTTCGGAGGCGGCGGTCATGACTGGGCTTCCGCCCGCGCCCTGGTGATCCAGACGAGGCCCCGTACCAGCGGTACGCCCCGTACCAGCGGTACGGGCCCTTCTGCGCACCCCGCGCGCTGGTGATCCAGACGAGGCCCTGTACCAGCGGTACGGGCCCCGTTTCGCACCCGCGCCCCTCACAATCCACACTAGGCCCCGTATACCGGCGGTACGGCTTGTACCAGCGGTACGGGCCCCGTTTCGCAACCAGACAGCTCCTGTGATCCACACCAGGCCCCGTTAGCATAAGCCCCGTACAAGCGGTACCGGCCCTGTTCCGCACCTCCCACCCCTGCTGATCCACACCTAAGCCCCGTAGCAGCGGTACGGGCCCCGTTTCGCACCCCGCGCCTGCTGATCCACACCAACCCCCGTACCAGCGGTACGCCCCGTACCAGCGGTACGGGCCCCGTTTCGCACCCTGCTGATCCACACCAAGCCCCGTACCAGCGGTACGCCCCGTACCAGCGGTACGGGCCCCGTTTCGCACCCCGTGCGCCTGGTGCCGTACCAGCGGTACGCCCCGTACCAGCGGTACGGGCCCCGTTTCGCATCCCGCGCGCCTGCTGATCCACAGCAAGCCCCGTACCAGCGGTACGCCCCGTACCAGCGGTACGGGCCCCGTTTCGCACCCCGTGCGCCTGGTGGCGTACCAGCGGTACGCTCCGTACCAGCGGTACGGGCCCCGTTTCGCACCCCGCGAGCGTGCTGATCCACACCAAGCCTCGTACCAGCGGTACGCCCCGTACCAGCGGTAGGGGCCCCGTTTCGCACCCCGTGCGCCTGGTGCCGTACCAGCGGCACGGGCCCCGTTTCGCACCCCGTGCGCCTGGTGCCGTACCAGCGGCACGGGCCCCGTTTCGCACCCCGCGCGCCTGCTGATCCACACCAAGCCCCGCACGCACCGTACCAGCGGTACGAGCCCCGTTTCGCACCCCACACCCTGGTGATCCAAACGAGGGCCCGTACCAGCGGTACGCCCCGTACCAGCGGTACGGGCCCCGTTTTGCACCCCGACCCTGCTGATACACAGGAAGAGGCGTACCAGTGGTACGGGCTCCTCCAGTCCTTCCACGGTCCCTACACAAACGGAATTTCGCATAGCCCGGTAGCAGTAACAGTGTAGCGCTCGTGATCCGCCGTTAGACAACGACACGACCCCAAACTGTGAGAGCAAAGAACAACCAACGCCAGCACCCTGTCTAGACAACGACGCGACTCGAGACTGTGAGAAAAAACCGGCCTTGTTCGCGAACGCAGCCGTCCCCAGGCTAAGCGCAGATGCTGTCTTCATGTCTGCGAAGAGAGGATGGTGCAGAATGTTCTGCATGTCTTGGCTGAGCTCAGCCTCGTAGGCCGTGTTCATGGCCCGAAAGCGGATTCGGCAAGAATGTCACCCGCCAGGGGGCTTGAGATGACGGTGCTGACGGGTGTGATTTGACAGCTAGTGCGGCACAACACACGGACAGGTGCACTCAGTGCCGTGACAGCAAGGCCTCTCGAACTCGTTGTCTCCAGTCCGTGCCTGGGCGTTGCATGCCAGGGCTACGATGCACTGCAAAGCCGGTCCTGCTGCCTCGGTGTCAGTGCCTTCCTTTTCTTTCAGCGCTGGACAGCCGCACCTGTGCAAACCCCCCTGCGCTGCACGGCTTCTGCTAGCGCTGAAAACAACGGGTGAAATCAGGAGTGTATTGACATAGCGCAGCTGGACTTGCGACTGTCCTCGGAGCCGTGGGGCGAGGACGACACTTGGGACTCGTCGGCTTCACTATCATCCGGCAGGCTGTCCTCGGAGAGTATGTCCGAATCATCGTCATCCTCCACCAGAGGATCTTCAAAGCCTTCAAAGCCGAGTTCTTCCTCGGATTCCTCGTCCAACTCGATTCCTGCCCAATCAGAATCGTCATCGTCAAGGATGTCTTCACGAGCTGTCTCTGGCTCATATCTTGACGTCGGTTGCCTTCTCCGCGGAGACTCCAGCACACACGCTGCCAGAGTTGGGTCGCGAATCCTGAGGTCCTCGTCACGGTCTGGATGTTGCCGAGTCCCTTCGGCGGTGACAGGAGTAGGTCGCTCCAGGTCCTCGTCGCCTTTCACTCTCTCCAGGCACTCCAGAAGTCGCTGTGCCACCTCTGTCTTCTTGCCCCTCACCTTCAGGCCCCGTGAAGCGCAGTCATCTCGGAGCTGTCGGAGGCTGCGCTGCATGAGCAACCACATGTCAATCTCCACTGACATGGCACCTGGACCTACTGGCTGCGCTTCCTCGGGGCCGACCAAAAAACAGCACTGGCAGGCTCACAGTTCCGACGCAGCCACTTGCACAGTACTTCCATCTAATACTATCAGATCGCATCTGCGAGAAAGCAGGAATGAGTGCCTGATGCAGCGTTCACATGCGTGCGAGGCCGCGGCACGGCGTAGTAGCTGGCTGCCAGCCTGGCATGGCAATGGAAAGTAGGTGTACGCAGGCTAGCCCTCGCGACATGACAGCACCTGGGACTGCATGCCAAGACGAATACGATGGACGCTTGTTTTTGCTTGTCTCTTTCATCCCTTTCCCATCTCCGCCCCATTGCGGCTGCTTGCATGAATTGCACGAGAGCTAGAGCTGGCACTGCACCGACCGCCAACTATATTTGCAAGATCCACGTACCCTAAACCCTAAACCCTAAACCCTAAACCCTAAACCCTAAACCCTAACCCTAAACCTAACCCTAACCCTAACCCTAACCCTAATCCTAACCCTAACCCTAACCCTAACCCTAACCCTAACCCTAACGTGTATTATATTGTCTTGTCTACATACGGGAAAATATACCCTTGGACGACACGGGCAGGCATGTGTATGACTTTCCCTACTGTCCTGCCTTCACACGGCAGAGGAATGATCACCTGTGAGCATCTTCTAAAGCCCACTCATTCCACGCTTTGTACACGAAATGCGGCGTACGAAGGCCTCGAATTTCCCTTTCCCATCTCCGCCCCATTGCGGCTGCGTGCATGAATTGCACGAGAGATAGAGCTGGCACTGCACCGACCGCCAACTATATTTGCAAGATCTACGTGTATTATATTGTCTTGTCTACATACGGGAAAATATACCCTTGGACGACACGGGCAGGCATGTCTATGACTTTACCGACTGTACTGCCTTTCACACGGCAGAGGAATGATCACCTGTGAGCATCTTCTACCGCCCACACATTCCACGCTTCGTACACGAAATGCGTCGTACGAAGGCCTCGAATTCAACCTTGCACATCACGCTGTCCATTTCAAGCGCTTGCTTGACATTGTCAGTGGCAAGCGCAAGCACCTGCTTTGGCGTGCGCTGGAGCCTCTCATAAGTGGTCGCGAACTCGTCCCAGCTCGTGAGAGGCTTCCACTTCGAGGCCTGCTTCCCGACGGCCCTGTCCACCACGTCGGCAAGAGCAGGCTCCGCCGTCCGGAATTCCGGCGAGACAAAGACGTGTCGTCGAATGCAGGTGGCGGCCTCGAAGCTGAACGCCACGCCAGATGCCCCGTTCGACGTCAAAAAGACGACGTCGACGAGGCTGCCGCCGTTCAAGAGGCAGCTCCAGCGAGCACCATCCGGAGCCCTGGCAGCATCCGTCACGACGAAGAGATTCGCGTGATGCAATGCAGGCTGCGGCTGGAGGCCACGTAGATGCACGGACCAAGATGCCTGCTCCAGCCAAACCTCGCTTCCAGGGCTCTGAATCTTCGGAGGCAGAGGATCCATGATGGCATGGTGCTTTGCCCGTTCCTGCTGTCGCTTGGACTGGTGCTCATCCTGCAGCAGCTTCATAGCCTCGGCCACCTCAAGCAAACCCTCAGGAACGTCTGCCTGCGACACTGCCCCGGCCAAGTGGGCCATTGCCATGTTGCGGTACCGCTTCACCAGCTGGAAATCCAACTCCTGAATCGAAAAAACAGGGACACACTCGTGCGCTCAGGACTCACTTTGTTTGTACCCAAGGCCTCGGCCATCGCGTCCGTGAGCAGGGCATCTTCAGCCCCCAGCACGGCTGCCTCTAGCACTTCGTCGGTGTCCACTAGGGGAGCTGCAGTTTGCCTTCTCTTCCGCAGGAACGCTTGCTCGGAGTCCTGCGTGGGTAGTTATGCTGGCGGACAGAATCCCCGTCACCAACCTATAATAGGGCTCCACCCCATCCCTATGTATTGCAATACCGTTCAACCCGCCAACCTCATTTGCAGGTCGCTTCTTGATGCCCTTGTCAAGGCGTGGCTCTGTTGGGCTCCGCCTGGCTGGCCCCTGCAGTGTTAGCCAGTGTGCCTGAGCCAGTTGAAAGACCAACTCCTGCTCATCCTGATGTCCGTCTGCCAGGATTTTAGCTTCGTCAAAACGGAGCTGATGGCCCATGTGCCCACGCGCAGATCCGGTCGACTTCAGAACTCGGGAGAAATGCTGCTCAATGCCGCCTGTCCCAGCACCTTGAAACGCCCCGTAGCGGAACAAGGCAGCTTTCAGGTTCGAGCAGGGGTGCTGCGAGCGGAGACTTGGTCGTGCCTGTGTGCGCAGCACAGCGGCAGTCCACGCTTGCAAATTGTCAAGCTTCCTGGACACCTGCAACTGCCGGGCAATGGGGTAGTGGTCCAGCATCTCGTCAAGCAGCGATTGCAGCTCCACACCGACTGCCTCGCTCAAACGCCGCATTGTCTTTGACGTGGCCGCCTCCACCAAAGCTGCGGGGTTGCCATCCCCCAAGCGGAAGATCTGCAAAGCCGACAGAACTTCATAGTCTGGAAATTCTGTCCTCAGAGTCTCCGCCGCTAGCACAACATATGCCCGCAGCTCCCGAAGGCAGTTGTTGCGAGTGGCTGCCTGGATTTTGTTGGGCCCTCCGATCGTCTTGGGCTCCCCGCCTGGCAGCAAGAAACCGTGGCTCGTGTCCAGAACCTTCAGGATGTGGCAAGTGTAGCCCGGGACTTCGAAGATATGGCCCTGCGGCGGAGGCAGGCGGGAACCCCAAACAACTGAACTTCAACATCAAATCTGAAGTGGAATCAACCCTGATAGCTCCAAAACACGAATCTCTCGGCCTCGGTGAAGAGGTAGTGTAGGCGCGACAGGAAAGTGCTAACTGCCAAGCACGACTCTGCCAGGTCATGACTTTCACAGTCAAAATGTCGTAGAAGACATAGAGTCTCGTCGGCAGCATCGGCCGCCATCGCCGCCAGGAGGATTTTCTCCTCGCTGAGATCGCCGAGCCACCGGGAGGCCTGCGCCCCCTCCTCCTGCGTGCGGCGATGAATGGAGATCCAGAGGGCAGTGTTTAAAAGGGCCTCGAAGTACAACATGCCCCTGCCCAAAGGCTGTGCGATGCTGGCGAACCGGTGTTTTGCCACGCTGAGTGACTTGATGGCCTTGCTCTTCACCGGACATGAATCCAGCTCGCCGCAAAATTTCATCCAGATCTGCTGAATGTGCGGGCTGTGCTGGATTCTTGCAGCAATGCTCGAGGGACTGTATGCGAACTCATCCACAATCTGCTGCATCTTGGGGTTTGCGGCCCATGGCCGCTTCAGTACCCTCAGTTCACAAGAATCAGACTCTCAGGGATCTCGATTGGAAACCTTTAGTAACACTCCACGTGTACTAGAACATATATGGAACACTCACAGTGCACTGCAGATAGGCAACCGCTGGCACGCGTGAGCCCGATCAAAGGAGCGAAATCGCATACGCGGAAAATATCCAGATGCGTGGAGGAGACGCCCCGTCACAGTTTCTTCCGAAGCCGCGTCGGCTACAAAGAGCTCCACCCTCCCTCGCACTTTGTCCAACAAAGATTGCTGAACTGAGCCATCGGAGTCTGTGAAGAACTTCAGGAAAGCACGCTCCACCGCCTGCTGTGCGCCGTAACTGCCAGACTCGGTGCCCAGGTTCTCGAACCCGATTAATCCGACACGACAACGAAGCTGGGAGTCGCATGCACGATAACGGATGCTCAGCCAGTGTTTTCGGGTGTCCTGGAAAATGGATACCACTTGTGCATCCTGCAGGAACTCCCTGTCGAGGTCACTCATGGCTAGCTGTAGACAGTGCTCCATCCTCGCCATCTTCTTGCCGCCGCCCGCAGCACAACCCTGACGCAAAGCCCTGTCCTTGCAGCGGTGGTCAAGTACCTGCTGGAAGGATTCTATGGGCGGGGCTCCCTGAAGCAAAGCATCCTCGCTTGCTTCCGCCAAGCCCAGAGTTTCCAAGGCCCTGACATGCGATGCGGAGTTGTGGTGCCTCATCAGGTTTCCGAAGTTCTTGCATTGCACGCCCTTGCTGAATGCGTTGTCCACGCCCGCAGCCTGGCAGACCCAGCAGCGAAGCACGAAGCCATCGGGGCCTGTTTCTGGCTTGATCCATGTGTGCTCAGCCAGACCCGCAGGCAAGCGGGCTTCCCACTCCGCAGCGTTGCGAAGGTAGACGCACTGAGCGCAGCCGGGAATTTTGCACGACTCCAAGTGACCCACATCCTCCAAGTCTGTGCCTTGCTTGCACTGCTTCCCGACGACAAGCGGCAGAGCTTCTGGCACGCGTCGACCAACTGCGCCGCTCTCAGGCAGCGGGGTCTCGAACCCCGGAAGCATGGCGGCAGTAAGCAGGAGGCCTACGACGCCCAGTTGATTTGAACAGCGAGCTATATTCGACAACACGGCGGGATGCGAATAATGGTCGTGCAATCACGCCGTACTGCAGAACCCTGCAACCCAAGAGTTGAATCCAAAGGTCCTTGAAGCCCAAAGGCTTGGGGCTCGAGGGTTAAGCTGAGAGAACCCTGCAACCCAAGAGTTTAATCCAAAGGTCCGTAATCCCAAAGGCTTGGGGCTCGAGGGTTAACCTGAGAGAGCTTTTTTCGACAACACGGGGGGATGCGAATAATGGCCGTGCAATCATGCCGTAATGCAGAACCCTGCAACCCAAGAGTTGAATCCAAAGGCCCTTGAAGCCCAAAGGCTCGGGGCTCGAGGGTTAACCTGAGGGAACCCTGCAACCCAAGAGTTTAATCCAAAGGTCCGTAATCCCAAAGGCTTGGGGCTCGAGGGTTAACCTGAGTCAGCTATATTCGACAACACGGGGGAATGCGAATAATGGCCGAGAAATCATGCCGTAATGCAGAACCCTGCAAACCAAGGGTTGAATCCAAAGGTCCTTGAAGCCCAAGGGCTTGGGGCTCGAGGGTTAACCTGAGAGAGATGCCTGAGCTAAGCTAGGCTGACTGGGGACTGTGTTGACCCCATCCCCAGAATTTCGAGAGTCACGCAGAGACCTTGCGACGCAAACCCCGAGCCTCTTCGCTGCATCGAAGGCGGCGCCCCGCCGCGCCCAGCTCCCGAGGCCGCCTTCCAGCGCCAAAAGGCGGCCAGGGGTTGGGTCAGGTGCGGAGGGGCTACTGCTACTACTAAGACTACTACTACTACTACTACTACAACTACTACTACTACTACTACTACTACTACTACTACTACTACTGCTACTAGTACGAGTATACTAGTAATAGTACTAGTACGGACCTCATCCAAAGCAGCAACGAGTGTCCAGGGCATAAGGCAGCAGCGCAAGTCAAAGGGGAGTACACTACAAGGGTCGGAGCTACCAAGGAACCACGACGGCGTGCATACACCATGTCCTAGATATACTGAGGCAGACACACTGGGGTCGCCATTCTCGCCTGCTTCAGGCTGGACCTCAGGCAAAGCTCCAAGGAACGTCTACAAAACCACGACGGCATGTATACAGTGCGTACTATATACGGAGGCAGCCACACTGAAGTTCTGGGCTGCCTGAGGCTGGACCTGAGCCAGAGCAGCAATGAACGTCTAGGGAACCACACAGGAACCACGGCCAAAGCCAGGGCGTTCGCCGAATCCATACCCCTTGCACCTGGAGCAGCCTGACGACAGCCAAGCAACAAGACTGACACAGAGCCAGAATGCCGTGTCCAGGACCAACACCCCGGCATCACGATCCCGGGGACCTTCCAGAGGGACCTCAGCCAACGTATGATTGTCCCCGCAGGCACAAGGAGATGGAGCGAGCACGCAAAAGGCCGAGGCATCCGGCCCGGCACCACCGCTGGTGGCCGCATCTTCCTGGACCTCAAGCTGCACAGCGGCCTAACAAGTACCCCTCAAAGGAGGTGTATGGCTCAGGGTCTGGGAAGATGAGTATACAGCTAGGCTTGCCCTGGATTACCGAGGCAAGCTGAGGAAGCATGAGGCAGCCGCGCCCGAGACACGATTCTCGGCTGCTGCGTGATGGACCTCATCCAAAGCAGCAACGAGTGTCCAGGGCATAAGACAGCAGTGCAAGTCAAAGGGGAGTACACTACAGGGGTAGGAGCTACCAACGGGAATGCAAAACGGCAACTCACTCACGAAGCAAAGCTAGAGGATGGATAGGACATGTTCCACAGCTTAGACTCAGTCCTACAGGATCGATGGCCACGTTGTCCAAGTTTGGCTTCGCACTGCCAATCCACGTAAAATGATGCTTGGGCTTATGATGGCTGCATCAATTAGGACATGCACCTGACGGTCTTGGCCAGGCTCAGAAGCCACATGCATGAGAATGCCCGAGGTACAGACACGTGGCATCCTTGGCAAAGGTGGTCCCGATGCTTCCCCGGACGCCTGCGAGCGGGGGATCTGACAACGGCAACATGCTGTTATTATACACTGGCACGAGCCGCATGGAGAGCACCGAACCCAACCCAAACAACCCGAAGTAGCACTACCCTGGCCTTGTCGACGATCGCTGCCTGCCAGCGCAAAGCAAGGGTAGCTCATGGTAGCTCCAAGCCACGAGCAGGGCAGCATGATGCAAAAGTGCAAATGAAAGGGAAGCGCACAACAAGACTCTGTTTCCTCCACACTCTTTCTGCGCGATCGGAAGATCTAGGGTTGCAAGAGCCACGTTCCAGGCCGCGCGAAACATCTAGGGAGGCAAGGCATACATCCGCTCCTGCTCTTTCGGCCTCACAACCACGGCCAGCGCCAATGCCTCCCACTCCCGCTGGTCGCAGTGCTGGCTTGTGGCTGCATGCACGACATCTGGCAAGCAATGATTGTGGCTCACCGTCATGGAGGACAACTCCTTGCCATGCGGCAGGATGACACTGACCTCGAACATGCCCATCCGCTCGTAGTCAGCATCGGCATGCAAGCCCCGAACCCATGGCAGCTTTGTCGCCTGCGGAGCATCCTCATCGGCCGGCTCGATCGTTGTCCTCGCGGCTTGCCTCGCCTCCGCTGCCGGCTTTTTTCTTGTTGTCCTCGCTGCCGCTGCCGGCTTCTTTCTTGTTGTCCTCGCTGCCACAGACTTGATCCCTGCCCTCGGTGCTGTCATCCCCTGTGTGGCTGGTTTCTTTCTGGTGGCTCTCCCTGCCACAGGCTTGGTCCCTGCCCCCGCGGCTGGGATCGCCTTCATGGCCTTCGTCTTCCCGGACTTTGGAGCCTTCGTCGTCGTTGTGGCCTTCGATGGAGCCTTCATAGCCTTCGTAGGCTTCGAGGCCTTCATGTCCACTGGATGAAAAGCTGGATCTTCGCCCAGCTGTGCCCAGCTCTAGCCAGGTAGGCAGCAAGGCTCGACCATGCACAAGTTTCGGACCTAGAGAATCAATAATAAGGCCTGACACATGAACATCTCAAAAGGCTAGACAGGTGCCACCTTGGTGCAGTTCGGTTTCGCAGTATTTCCGAATAATTCAGACAAACTCGCTAAAGCTGTGCACTGCTTCGACCCGAGTGCTTCGCCGGACCAATCCATGCATCTCGCTGCAACACAAACCAGGAGGCTAGGCACGGCCGAAGTCAAGACCCGGGCCTCATCGGTCGAGACCGCCTCATCTCGTCCAGCATTCGGGACCTGGCAGCACAGAAGCATCGCTGAAGGTGGTGGCCGAAGCTCACGGCTTCCGAGGTCCCGGCATCGCCCTGCTGTCCAGAGGATGGCGCCTCCAGCGATCCGACACAGGACCATCCAGGAGAGTGAGGAAGCCGTGGTCGTAGCGCAAGCGGAAACCGGATCGAGACAACACAGCCCCTGACCCCAAACCATCCCAAGCCCATCAAACCCGAACTACGGTGTCTTGGGTGTGGCTTCGCTTTGGAATCTCTCGACTTGGGGGGGGAGGGGGTAATACAGCACTACACTCGCCAACCCCTGCAGACCCCATCGGCCGAAGTCGGATCCACGGCACATCCAGAACAGTCATGGATCACCATATATCACGTGGGACAAATAAACTTGCACTCACGACGACCATTGAATGCAAGCTAATAGAGTTGGGGCACTTCCACATCCACTTCCGAAGCACTGCCGAAACGCACTTCCGAAAGGTCCCAAGTTTAGGAACTGCCCACTTCCGAGCTCTGGTTTCTAAGTATCCGACTGGGAGAAGCCTTATAGGCACTTTCGGGGACCCCGGGGAGAGCCGAGGCCGCGTCCGTTGCTTCCGACCATCCGTGGGCTCGCGGCCTCAGCGGAGCCAGTGTCAACAGAG